TTTGGCCAGCTTCTTTTGCACAGCATAATGTTTTGTTGCAGTAGTTTGTTATTATTTATCGTTGAGTATTGACTAGTATTCCAATCTGCTAATATTCTGTTCTGAGTTCCATTTACACTTTTTCAATCATCTTGATGTGTAAGCTTAGATTTTTAATTTTTACCTTTCTTCCCATGTAAAACACAAACAAACAAACAAACAAGAAAAACATTTGAAGGAATACATTTTCTACTAAGGACTGCTTTGGGTGTGTTCTATGCATTTTGGTACAGTGCTTTTATCACCATTTAATTCAAGCTTTTTTTTTTTTTTTTTTAATGTATCTCGATCTCTTAGATCTTAGGTTGATGCTCAACAGCTGAGCCATGCCGGCTGGGCAAGCTATTTTTTAATTTCCATTGTGATTTCTTCTTCGACCTATGGGTTATTTAGAAGAGTGTTGGTTAACATCCAAATATCTGAGGCTATTCTAAGTAATATATTATTATCAGTTCCTGATGTAATTTAATTGTGGTTAGAAAACAAGCTGTATGGTTTGTCTAAAACTACATCATGTAGAACGTGCTCTCTTAGTGATGCTCTCTGGGGAAAATGTGAAATCTGCGGTTGTGCATGGACATTCATTAGGCTAATTTCACTGATAGTGTTGTTTGAATCTTCTATACCCTTGATGATTTCTTCCACTTACTCAGTCAATTATTGGAAAATGTTTAAACACAACAAAAATTGAAGATTTTCTCCTTTTGTTTCTATCATTTTTTGCTCCCTGTGCTTTGAATCTCTGATGTACCTCCATACACATTTAGGGTTTTTTATGGCTTCATGATAAATTTACCCTTTATAATTTTGAAATGTTTCTTGTCTCCTGTAATATAGCCTACTTTGCCTAATATTAATAGAGGAATTAATAGTGGTTTATTATGCCTACTATTTTCATGCAATATATTTTCCCATCCTTTTACTTTCAACCCGTCAATTTCTTTATCATTAAAATATGAGTATTGCATTAAAAAGCCCATAGGTGGGCCTTTTAAAAAGTCTAGACTTACAATTTCTGTCATTTAACTAGAGTTTTACTTAATTTCTTAATGTGATTATCAATTGGGTAAGCTCAAGTATGCTATTATAAAATTTCTTTTTATTTTTTTCTAATTTTTCCTTTTCTTCTCATTTTCCTGTCTTATTTTGTATTAAAGCAAGACTGCTGTTGCTTTTTGTTTTATTTTTTAACATTCTATCCTTTCTTTTTTATTGCTTTTGTGGCTATATCTTTTATTTTATTTTTATGCATCCTGAAAGTATTGTAGTTTACCTCAAAATGACATCATATCATTTTATATATAATGCTAGACCCTTCAATAGTATAATTCTATTTATCCTATATTCCATCCTTCATGGTTTCTTTGACATGTGTTTACTTCTACATATATTGTAAACACCACAATACATTATTTTTATTTTTATTTCAACTGTGTATTGACTTCTAAAATGTTAAAGAAAAGAAAAGAAAACTAGTCTTTCATATTAACCCACATATTTACTACTTTGAGTGTTTTTTACTCCTTTCTGTACAATGAAAGTTCTATCTGGCATCAATTTCTTAAGATTGTAGAGCTTATTTAACAATTCTTAGTGGTGGTCTGTAGGTAATAAACTATCTCACCTTTTTTTTATTAAAAAAAAACTGTTATAGCCTGGCTGTCATAGCTCAGCAGTTGAGCATTGACCTAGGAGCCAGAAGATCGCCATTCGATTCCCGGTCAGGGCACTTGCCCGGGTTGTAGGCTCAATTCCCAGTGGGGGGTGTGCAGGAGTTGGCCGATCAATAACTCTCATCATTATGTTTCTAGCTTTCTCTCCCTCTCCCTTCCTCTCTCTGGCATCAATAAAGATATATTTTTAAAAAACAGAGCAAAACAAAAGAAAAAAACCCCTGTTTTATATATTTTTTTAGATTTTAAAGTTATTTTTGCTGGATATAGAATATTTTGGCAGTTTCCTACTTTTTAAAAAATATGTTTTTATTGATTTTAGAAAGAGAGGAAGGGAGAGGAAGAGAGAGATAGAAGCATCAATGATGAGAGAGTCATTGATTGGCTGTCTCCTGCTTGCCCCCCACTGGGGATGGAGCCCCCAACTTGGGCATGTGCCCTGACCGGGAATCGAACCTGTGACCTTATTGTTCATGGGTTGATGCTCTACCACTGAGCAACACGACCTGGGTGATTGTTTCTCAACTGTCATTCTTATTGTTGTTAAATCATCGCCAGCCATTCAGCTGGTTTGGGTGACAGTCCAAGCCAGTGAACTTCAATTCCAAGCAAGTGGAATTCAAGCTTCAGGAGAGTAAGGAGACCTTTCCTTATTTTTCAGCTCCACATACAACTTCCTTTGCTGCTATGTGGTGATTGTCTTTGATCTTGCCAGAAGAACTTGGTGAGAGTTTAGTTGTAGCTTCCTCTAGACTCTATCTGCCACTGCCTTTAATGTTTCTGAGCTGATAGTAGGCTGCTAGCTCCAGGAGGGCTTTGAATCCATACACTGCACACTTTGAGATCTCAAAACTGTGAGACCTTGGGTCTGCTTGCACATGAAACTGCGGAGCTATGAGATTGCACATGATAAGACCCTGGGAAAGTGGGACTTTGGGACTGCAAGAATCTGTGATTACAAGACTGAAAGACAGTGAGATTCAGAGGATTAAGTTGCTTGCCCAATGTTACATAATCATGCCAGGATGTTGCTCACTTTGAGGGAATTCAGGATCCCCTCATTGGAGCACACAATAAACGAGCTAAGGATCCTATAATGGACTCCATACTAACAAAATAAGCCTTTTGTCTGCAAATATGCAACCAGGATTTCAATATCAGTGTAAGATGTACTCAGTCTATAAATTACATAGAACCCAGAGAGAGCACCCTGTCGCCTTCAGTGTAAGATCCTGTTGAAAGTTCAGTTGGATAAAAGATGCTTCAGGCCCTGGGACTTGATGTGCCTGAGGATGAGCTGTAGCACACATGATTAAGAGGGAGTCCAAAGGAATGAAAGGCTGCCCAATTAGACCATAGGAAAACATGACATGCCTTCACTCTGTCCAAAACATGTCCTGCTGGTGTGGCTCAGTGGTTGAGCATCGACCTATAATCCAGGAGATGGAGGTTTGATCCCTGGCCAGGACAGATGCCTGGGTTGCTGGCTCCATCCCCAGTGTGTGTGTGTG